AGCCCGGATTTGGGAAAGGGCTCTCCTGCTCCCAACTCTGACTCTGTCTTCGGCACCTGACTGGGCACGCCCTCCCTGCAAATCCAATCCCTCTACCTAAAGTTTTTGGTGCAAACCGGGATTTATTTGGGGCTTTAATGTGAACAGGACAGGAGGGAAAGAATGCAGCACTATAGACACCTCTTTTTAGCTGCCTGTGAAATTAGGGAGGCTCACATCGGCATGGGCGGAGAGAGGAGAGCGCGTGCGGTTCTGCAGTAAGTAGGCAGGAACTTCCACCGTAGGTCTCTCTCGCACGAGCTCTCTCTGTCGCGCGCCCGCGCGCGCACCTATGAGTCAACGTATCTTTCCTTCAGTCAACAAATGCTCGGATTGGAGTCTGTCTGCTCAGGAGTTTTTAAAAAGTGCTGCTAGTTACAACACCGACAGCTTGTGTTTTGTTTATGTCGTATTTTGTTTAAAGGTTTTCAATATCTAACTAACGAAGTTCATTAACAGTATTTGAAATAACTATTACAGTACTGCTGTTGTTAATAATGATTATGCGGGAGAGAGTGATCCTCCGGAAAGAGAGAAGCCCCTGACAAGCGCCACAGCACCCGTTCGACACACAAGCTTCTGGCTCCCTTCACCCTTTCCAGCCTCTTCCCGCCATTTCAGTTCTGAGTGAGAAAACCTGGGAAGGAAAGTAGGGAGAGGACTCAAGACGTATCGAGAGCGAGGCTTGAAGCCAGTGCAGTAAGGCTTGCTCTCTTAACAGAAATCTTCCCCCCAAAGAGTGGACAAAAGTATTGCTGACTGAGAGGCGCCACCCTTGGCTTCCTTCTGCCGCTTTCAAAAAGATGAGGAGGGGCGGGTGAGCATTGCATCTCCCTCCCTCCCTCCCACCATCGGCGCCCCAGAGGGGGGAGAGTGACTGTGTGGGACAGAGCCGACAGGTAGTGAGCGAGGAAGCCCTCGGCATGGGCGGAGAGAGGAGAGTGCGTGCGGTTCTGCAGTAAGGCAGGAACTTCCACCCTAGATCTCTCGCACGAGCTCGCTCGCTCGCTGTCGCGCGCCCGCGCGCGCACCTATGAGGACCGTACTTTGCTCGCCCGGGCTTGCTTTCTGAAACCTGTAGCATCAGCTAGCCCAAGAGGGACTGATGGGAAAGGAACGGGGAGCTGTACCCGTAGGGACTCTGCTGGGTGAGTTCTTGGATCTGGGGAGGGGAAAGAAAGGAAAGCACTTTCTCTTGCTAACAATGGAGGAGGGAGGGGTGTCAGCCTCTTCACTGAGCAAAAGCACCGGTGAGAGAATAGGAAACATTTTCTTTCTGGACCACACCTCCCAGAATCCCCCCCCCCCCAGTGAGCGTGGCTGGCGGTGCTTGGGTGCGGAATGGGGGAATCCTCCAAAAGTAAGTTCTCCCAAGCTATGATTAGCACCTGCCTCATTTTTAAAAACAGCAATTAAGACGTGAGAGTAGTTCCTCTGATTCTGCAATAAGGTCTGCATCTCCTCCATGATTCTGTTGGAGGACAAAAATGTGCAACCAAGGCAAGAATCCTGTTGGCGTTGGCATAATTTATCTCTCTCTATTTCATGGAAAGGTTTGTGTAACTTGCCATGCCTAATTGGTGAGATGCTGAAGTTGCAGAGTCAGCTGTATGCTGAGGCACACAGCCAAGACATGCCTGGGCACCTGATCAGTTAGCCACGATTAGCTATGGCAAGTTATGCAAGCCTCACATGAACACCAGTAGGATTCTGGCCACTGAATATGTCATATTAAAAGTGTGTGTAATGTTTTTTGGTGTGCTGCAGGGAACCCTGCCACTCCAGCTCCATGATGCCATCAACGTTAAGAGAAGACAACAAAGGTCAAAGGAACTATGCTTTTATAGCTGAGAAGGAGTAAGGGGCTGACATATATTGGGTCAGTAATGCCATCAAGGTAGAATTTGCTGGCCGATGTCTGGGATTCCACTTTGCAAAATGAACATTTATGAAGAATGCTTTTCCTCATTGCAAGCATATATTTAATGTGCATCTCAGAGGTTGTGGACTCTAGAATGAGAAAGATGTGTGTGCATATGTGGATAACAGAATGACAAACAAAACAGAAAAATGGAATTTTATGAATATGTATTTAGAATTAGGGGAGATAAAGAATCTTTACTAAAAACTACATTGAGACAGCTAGAACTAAAGAATACGAACTGCTGCCTTATACTGTTCTATAACCAGATTTCTGCTTTCCCAGTTTCATGCCCCTTCTAATTGTTATACCAGAATATAACTGAGTTATTAGAGTAAATGGCACAATTGGATATGTGACTGCCCCCTTGTTGGGGACTAACAACTGAATTTAGTTCTCCATCTTCAGACCAAGGAATTTTTTGTTTCAAAAAGGTAAAAATCTACAGGGTTCATCATTTCCATGAGAAAATGCTCCAGAGGGGGTGGTAATTGTGCCTGAAATCTTCTGACATAAACCTGTGATGTGTTCCCACCTTCTTTTCTTCTTCTGCCTTTAACAAACTTTTTGTCTGTATTACGAACAATTCTTGGAATAGGCCCCAGACTTTTTTCTTGTAAATGCCCTGAACTGATCACTCATTCAGTCCATATCTTTAACAGATAAAGAAACTGAAAAGGCAGTTTGTGTTTTTCGTTTCATCATACCTGAGGTATCAACTTCAAGAAACTAGTTACTCATACGTAACAGTTCTCAACAGGTATTATGGAAAATATTTCACTGATAAATTTATCTGCCTCCTGCTGAGAGGAAAAGAAAGCAAAAGGAAGGTGCTGTGCTTCTCTAAGCTTTCTACAATTAGTGGAATAAATAGGCTGTGGTAATGGAAGCAGTTTACAGGAATCTCATATTGTGACTTAACATGCTGTTGTTGACAGCAAACATGGAATTTATTTATTTATTTATTTATTACATTTATAGCCCACCCATCTAGTATATAGACTACTCTGGGCGGCTAACAACATATCATTTAACAATTTAAAATCATAAGAATATATTACTAAGTAAACAATGATCCAAGATGGAAGAAAGGAACAAAATAACAAAAATTCAGGCGGTAGATGGAGGGAAGGCTTGCTTAAACAGCCAGTTTTTCAATTGGCATTTAAAGATACCCAGTGAAGGGGCCATGCAAATCTCAGGAGGGAGACTGTTCCAAAGACCAGGAGCCACTGCCGAGAAGGCCTCGTTTGTTTTTGTTTTTCTTTCCGGGCCTCCCTCGGCTTTAGGCTCCTCAGCCTGTCCTGGCTAGATCGGGTGATATGGGTAGATTACCTTTCTAAACCAAGTGAATTGTGTCTCTGTACCAGGGACAATCTCTGCTTCGGGGTGCAGTGTAAAGTTATAGAAACTTTTAAATCTAATTTCAGAGGATAAGCTGCTGGAGAGTAGCAATGGAAGAATTCTTCATTAAAATATCTTCATTTAGTGCCTTGCACCTGTGATGTTTACCACGTGCCCCCTTGATTGTTTCACCAAACAAAAGGAGCTCACGCTATGTCCTCCCACCAGCAGATATCAATTGTAACATTCCCTCTTTTTCTCACTGCCCCCACTGGATTTCTGTTATCCACAATGTAAAAGACTTTAGTCTGGTTACTGCCAACATAACTTGTTTATTGAAGTGTATCAAATTAAATCAGAATCTCAGATGTTCTTTATTCAGTGCATACAATCAGATCATTAAAATATCGTATATCTTCCCACATACTCAATCACCACCTACTCTATCTATTAACCTTATCCAGCTTATCTCTGTTAGTATATGTTTTCAATATCTCCCTGACTGTTTCTCTCTCTCTGCAACTTCTATCTCTCCTTTTCTCTGCCAAACCTTCTTATATCTCCTGACTCTGCCCCTCCACTCCTCTCATAGGCTCATGTAAATGAGATCCTGAATATGAGTGACAGGAGTGACGTGGGGCAATCGTCACAGCACCTTTTTGCAAAAATGGCACTCCTGGTACAGTCCAGTTACTTTTGTGAGGAATCATCCTTTACTTCCTCCACAACAGGTCAAAAACGAAAGCACAAAGTGTATTTGCTGCTGCTTCTCACAGTTCTGTGAACACAAGGCATCAATGATGGCAGTAGTAATCAACCAGATTTCAGTTTATGTTCTCTGTGTAATTCAGGCCTGTTTAATCGGCAAAGCTGAACACAGTCCCCCAGCCCCAAGGAAGGGGGCACAGAGGGAGTCTCCCTGAAGAATGTGAGGACTTTGAACACATTTGGGCATCTCCTGGGCAACAACAGCACCCTTTCGGCTGATCCTTCCACTCCAGCAGCACCATTGAATTGTTTCTGACATGAACAAAGAAACAGCAGCCAAGGGTAGGGACCCAGGAATGAACATAAGCTGCTGTTTTAGTTGTTGCGCAGCATTGCAAATGACAAAGGGCACCAAACACTTTTGAATTTCCAGGAAGAAAGCTGTGTCAGTTTATGGCAGGAAAACCAACACAGTTTTTCTGCACCTTGAAGAGTGACCAGCATTATTGGGCAAAAGTTTTCACAGAAAATGTATTCTCAAAGGCGGAAAAACCATTTCACAGAAAATGTTTGTTAAGTGATCAAATTAACTTGCATATGATAGGTAAATAGTTTCAATAACAGAGTTCATACAAAGCAGCAGGCATGAATTAAGACAATATTGGCATACATTTTGCAGCTGTTTTGACTTTATAGAGTAACAGTTTTCTACAGGAACTAGCTTTTCTATTTACCTTCAACAGTTCTTGGCAAATGTCTTTTCTCATTGTGAACAACTTCTTAATTGTGTTGGTACTGGCCTGCCATTAGCCTTGCATTGTGGAGAACACCTGTGTTATTTGTGTTGGCTATAGTCAAGGTCATTCTAGCTGGCTCTTAATTAGCAAGTACCTTCAGCTCTTAATTAGTACTGTATTCTTAATTAGCAAGTACTTTCTGAGAATGTGCTTCTGCTGGAGAAGGTTCTAGCTTAATTCAGATTCTGATTGTTTTAGTGGGCTTCATCTCTGTTACCTCTAAGTCAGAGGCCGCAGAACTGACCTGGTCTCAATGTCATTCAGAGTGCAGCCTGTTTATTCTTGCTGGGTGGTCTAGGTAGCTAGGACTCATTGTATGCTCTGGAAAACTGATTGCTGCCTGCTTAGGGGTCCCTTTGTTTATATGAATATGTAGCTTAGGCTAGTCAGCTCTTCGTTGTTTTGTCTGTTGAATTTTCATCTATATTTACTAACATGCTTTATGCAACTTGCCATAATGGGGTCTTTTTACAGTTTGGCTCTGTTTTACTGTTCTACCAATGTAAGATATAAAATTCTCTCTACAGGTTATATGATTGTGTTTTTTGAAGGATTGGTCCTAAATTCTTCTTAGTTTTTAGCTTTCTAGCGTTTGACTGAGACTCTGCTGGATTTTTGTTGTTGTTGTTTTAATTTTCAGGCCTTACTTGTCTGGAGGTCTGCAGAGAAGTCCAGTAAAGGCTTTCTGTCCTGAGATGGAGCTAGTAGTGGCCCTGGGCAGAGTTCTTTGGATTTTGCTATCCCTGTCGGTGATGCCTGGTCTTTGGCACTCTTAGCATGCAACTGCATTGGAAAATGCTTTGCAGGTTGCTGTTGAATTGGCAAGTGTGAATCTGAAGTATTTTTTCAGTGATCACACAATGTGAATCAGCCTTTTTTCCGCTTCCGATCAATGTTTTTTCCCTTCCTCTAGAGTCTTCTGCTTTAAAAAAAATCATAATGATTCAAACTGTGTATTCGTGAAGGCTTTCACGGCCCCCCTTCCTCTGGAGTCTTGTGCTTTAAAAACATCATAATGATTCAAACTGTGTATTCGCGAAAGCTTTCACAGCCGGAATCTAATGGTTGTTCTGGGTTTTTCGGGCTCTTTGGCCGTGTTCTGAAGGTTGTTCTTCCTAACGTTTCGCCAGTCTCTGTGGCCGGCATCTTCAGAGTGCTGTCCTCTGAACATGCCAGCCACAGAGACTGGCGAAACATTAGGAAGAACAACCTACAGAACATGGCCAAAGAGCTTGAAAAACCCACAACAACCAACGATTCAAACTGTGTTTTGCCTGTGTGATCATTTGTTTTGTTCTACAACAGGGGGTCATTTCTTTTTCTGGTGATGTAGTAAGTTGCAATATGTTTTGGGACAGTAGGAACACCACCCCTACAGTATTTCTACCTAGATGCCCCAAAGGTTTTTTTCTGTTTGTTTAAAAAAAAAACCTAGATCACCTTATTATTCTATTGCTACAGTTTAGCACTAGATCACCTCTGTGCAACCAAAACAAAAGATAAAAATCAATATAAAATAAAAACAACGCAGACAAACTCTTACAGACTGCAGTGTGCTTATGTCATGTGTGTATTTTTTGTATTTATATGGAGAACTTTGGAAAACAATCCTTTTTTCCTGTCCAGCATACATCCCTTAAAACAGTCCCAGTGGCTTGACAGCAGACTGTAAAGGGGGATCAGCAAGAGGGTGATATCGGAGAAAGGGGAGCTGTAGTCACAGACAGAGCTGCATTGGATTGAAGGGCCAGGGTGGACCTTGCCAACAAAGCAAATAAACCAAATATAATCAGAAAATAGATCAAGCTGATGCAAAGCCAGTTTGGCTTTGCCAATGTGGCCGGGGGCAAGGTGACCTGGAGGGAAACTCCTTGATGCCATAACATTGAAATGTTACTTGTTTTGGATTTTATCTTCCAGAATCCCCCAGTCAGTATGGCCACTGGGAATGCTGGCTGAGGGATTCTGACGGATGTCCCTTGGTTCAGGCTTTGTCCCTAACATACCAGGGATAAAATGAAGTTTTCTTATGCTGCCCTGATGCTGAACACATTTACTTGGGAATAAGCACTACAGTAGGACCGCCGTATCCACATGATCAGTACCCATCGTTTCACTTATCTGCTACCTGAAAATATTAAATCAAAAACCCAGACACACGTGTTTCCAAGTTGTACTACTGGAACTGGCCACTAGAGTGAACCAGAGTCTCTTTCTCTTTCTTGCATTTCTGTTCTCATGCTTTTTATCATCCGTGGGGGTGGGGCTTGGAACATTCCCTTGTGGCTACTGCAGTCCTGCTGTTTTAAAATGTTAAAAGATCAAAAACATTATCAGAACAATAAAAGGTTTTAATTCCCAAAAACATGATGAAATGAATGTGGGGAAACTCCTGCCTAAAGGTTGTGGCTGTGATTCTGTTTCAGTGACGTGCATACACTCCTGACACAATGCAAGGTAGGCCCCTCTTCTGCCCTTCCCCTTAGAAGTAGAGCATAAGATCCAAGAGTTATTTTAGCGACGAAAATACTGTGGGTGGCCATTTTCTGCACCCGCCGGCCATTTTGGAACCGCCGATCAGCGGATTCGTCGTTAAACGGTGCACTCGTTAAGCGAGGCACTGTATATTTTGGAAAAAACGAGCACTGAAGAAGTTGCTTACATTTCAAATCCACCTTAAAGGGGTTTGTGAAAGCTGCCCCAGAGTTTGCAAAATAATGTAAATTTCTTCATTCTCCATAATGCTTCACCTGGCTAAGCAGAAAGCCTTGGAAGGGATGAACCATCCATCACAAGGTGCAGTTGAATACACATTGCTCATATAAAAGAGAGTCACAACTGCAAGTGCTGATGTTCAAATCTTCTCCCTCCAGTCTGGGATGCCTCTCCTGAATGGTTACATTCAATATTCTTTAAGTCACAGGAAAAAAAATTATAATCTTTTCTTTAAAAACAAAGCAAAACAAATGCAGTCAAAAGTTGGCAGGACTCCTGGAGTAATCCTCTTTATTCTGTTTTTGCACTCACGTGTCACAGAAAAGAAATTTTAGAAATATTGTTCTTGAAGCAGAAAAGAAACTAGCAGATACTGCTTATAAAATACTGTAGAAAAGAAACTAGGAAAATAGTGCTCGTAGAAGGCAAGAATGTGGAGAAACCCTCCATTTATTGGTATCTCAGCACTAGTCCTATTTTTCACTGTGGTAAATAGCCCAGAATATTTGGATGTTTGTGGGAGGGGAGGGGTAGGTCTAAAGAACTCTGACTCCTTTTCTGAAAAATGCCCAACAACCGATCAGATCTTAGAGCATCGTTTTTCAAAAGTAATCAACTTCTGTTACTCATTACACATTCTTTAAAATTAATTTGCTATATTCCTCATTTCTCTTTGTTCTTGATTTCTCTTTATTTTCTGTCTTGCTCATTTCTCTGTATTTTAGATGTTTAAGAGCATTTCAAATGCAAAAAGGCCCCCAGTCTCCCCAAATGACATCTCTCCCCAAAAGTAATTGTTACTAGTCATTACATTACTTTTAAAAACTAATGATATTGACACTGATATCCTGAAAAGTAATGAGTGATGAGTAATGGCATTTCATTTAAAATGTTATGTCCAGGCTCTGCAACTGATAAAATCTTGATGCCTACCTAAAGTTCATCTGTCTCTCACTCTCCACTGAATAGCCAGATGAGATCTCTCTGTAGCATTGAGCAGAGTGAGGTGGCTGCCTCAGACAGCAGAGAGGTGGGGAGAAGGCAGGTTGTGAGAGTGTGCCGTATCATTAGCTGGTCCTTTCTAAACTACAGTGGTGCCTTGCTTAACGAGGATAATCCGTTCCAGCGAAATCGCTGTAAAATAAAATCCTCTTTAAGCGAAATAAAAAAGCCCATTTAAATGCACTGAAAACCCTTCAATGTGTTCCAATGGGCTGAAAACTCACCGTCCAGCGAAGATCCTCCATAAGGGTGGCCATTTTTGCTGCCTGTAAAGTGAGGAATCTGTCCTAGAAAACAGCGGAGGGGCATTTTGTACACCCGGTGGCCATTTTGATCAGCTGTTTTCAGATCATCGTAATGCGAAAATCGGTTCGTCGGGAAGCAGAAAAAGCCCATTTAAAACATTGTTTTGCAATCGCAAAAACCTAATCATCAAGCGATTTCCTCATTAAGCGAGGCAATCGTTAAGCAAGGCACCACTGTAGCCTACTGCTGCCATATATTGGTACTACCGAACTGAGGTCCACTTGTCAGTCTGGTCAGCTTGACTACATGTCATGGGTGGCAGCAGCATCTCTTTTTGTGTGTCAAGCGGCAAAATGGCTGAAGACTGAGTCTTCCCTTTCCCAACCCTGCCCTGATCACTGTTGGTTTTAATACAGGGCAAAAACATGACAGACTTCATCAAGACGTTCTTCACAGGAAATGTGCCCTTAACAGTTTGGCTTTTGGTACACATGGGATTTGGTAAGTACTTGTTTTTAAGCAAATGTGCAGGCGTCAGGATTCAGGGGACCCCTCGGTGAAGACACCCTAAGTAGGATCCCTTCATAGGGAAGAGGCAGGGTGTGTGTCAATGGAAATTGGGAATTTTGTCATGGATTTCAAACCCCCTTACATGTACCACCAAGATGAGAACAGTGCAGAGGCTGGAAATTCTGTTTTCTGGGGCTACACTTTGCAACCCCCTGAGCTATCACATGGCCATTGACCATGCTGCCTAAGGGTTCTGGGAGTCATCTTTGTTTTTGTTTTTAAAGAGAAACCTTTCCATCTGACTCATCAGTACCAAAGGTTGGAAACATTACTTTCTGTCCTACAGCTCCCATACCCACTGAGTTTTTGAGAGATGTAACTTAATTTTCAGTTCTGCCTGGTAAGTTTCTATTCAAGGTGTTAACCGGAGCTCTCGCTTTCTCATCATCTAAGATGCTTCTTCTTCATCATGCCAGGGACTGTAGGACCACAGGAGTGCAAAAATACAGTGGTGCCTCACAAGACGATTTTAATAAGTTCCGCAAAAATCGTTGTCTTGTGAAAAAAAGTTCCACGAAAATCGTTGTCTTGTGAAAAAATCGTCTTGCAAGGTTCCCTATGCATTGGTCTCAAAAAAAAGTCTTGCGAAGCATTGGTGTAAAAAAAAAAAGTCTTGCGAAGCATTAGTCTCAAAAAAAAAAGTCTTGCGAAGCATTGGTCTAAAAAAAATAAGTCTTGCGAAGCATTAATCAAAGCAACGGTCATAGAAAAAGTCTTGCGAGGCACCATAGTGATCGCAAAAACCAATCATCTTGCGGGTTTTTTGTCCCACGAGGCAATCGTCTAGCGAGGCACCACTGTAGTGTTGTCAGCCTCTGTAATATGGATCTCACTTTTCTTAGGAGCGGTTATCTCCCCTTTATCAGTCTTAGTGTTGCACTAGATTCCCAACTTTAACACCCTTTGGAACCAGTCACACCAAAGGAGCAAACCTTTATCTCTGCTTCTGTCTGCTAAGAAACCATGCTTGCTCTTTGAAACACTTTAGTCTTTGAACTGCTCATCAGAAAGTACATCACCCGCACACCCACACCTTTTCCCCTTCTGTTCTAGGAGCAAGTTGTAGGCGATTGAAGGAGTGCAGAACCCCTGAGTGGTATGTTATTCCTTTCCATTTTTTTCACTCTGGTTATAGACTAAAAGAAATTTTTAAGGGCCACCCATTAGAATTCCTAACTGCATCTGATATAGGATGTCCCTCCCAAAGTTGTTAGAATGCAGATCCCATTATCCCTCATGGTTGGCTGTGCTTGCTAGGGTTGATGCAAGCTGGAGTTGCTGAAGTTCTGGAGTGCTGTAAAATGCCCAAGCTCTAGCTGCTACAGGGTACTTTTGCAAAGTGGACAAAAAACGTGTTATTCTGCTTGTGATCATCACCATCCATATACCAATCATTACCTGCAGATGAATGTCGTACAAAATCTAGAGATAATGTTTTCTCAAGCGTGCGGTATGGTGGAGAGTGGGGGCTACTTCTTAAGAGACAAGTTTCAAACATTTTCAAAGTTGCTTCCGGTCATTTTAAGTTCAGCACTGGAAGCCCAGAAGTTGATTTCTGGGCCCAAATCTTATAGTTTGATGCCCTTTTTATCTGGCAAAGCTTCTGTATTGAACAGATGTGTAACAGTTAGAAATTAAACAAGCTCTGGTTTTGATGCCATGGAAATGCTGTGATGGGGCATCACCTATTGAATATCTATTTTTATCATAGTCGATAAACATAGAGGAACCTCGCATTAAGAAAATGATGTTAATTTTCTTTGATTTAGATATAGAGCACAGCTAAATAACACCACTGGTATCACAGCCCTGAAAAATATTCCTGTTCAAGCTAAACCCCCACAAGTTGTATACTCTATATACTTACTTTGTCACTTTCTGTTGCAGGGAGCTTACAATCCACATGTTGACCAACCAACATCTATGCATCTGCTGGCTAGAATCCTGTTACCGTAACTGCATTGATGTAAATGATGATGATGTCATCAGACCATGATGTTAATCTTTAATTTAATTTAAAGCTTTCTGTCTGCCCGCCTACCCCGGTTCTGAGGCTCCCTAGGAATCCTTTTAACTTGGGGAAGCTTTTGGGGGACTTTCTTACCTGAAAATCACTGACAGTGGTTGGGATCCTGGCAGTAGCATATTAAAATTGCCTCCTGTACTGAGGCTCCCCCAGGATCCTCCAGGTTAAAAATGATCTCTAGGAAACCAGACTTTGAAATGAAATGAAATACTAATGTCATGGGCTGACATCATCACCACTTATGCTTGCATAGCAGCACAGGAGGATTTCAGCCGTTGTCTTCTTGCATTCGTTGTTGTTTAGTTGTTTAGTTGTGTCTGACTCTTTGTGCCCCCATAGGCCAGAGCACGCCAGGCCTTCCTGTCTCCCACTGCTTCCCGTAGTTGTGTCAAATTCATGTTGGTTGCTTCGATGACACTGTCCAGCCATCTCATCCTCTGTCGTCCCCTTCTCCTCTTGCTGTCAGACTTTCCTAACATCCAGGTCTTTTCCAAGGAGTCTTCTCTTCTCATAAGATGGCCAAAGTACTGGAGCCTCAGCTTCAGGATCTGTCCTTCCAGTGAGCACTCAGGGTTGATTTCCTTTAGAATTGATAGGTTAGTTCTCCTTGCAGTCCAGAGGACTCTCAAGAGGCCTCCTCCAGCACCACAATTCAAAGGCTTCTTGCATTACTACTACAGAAAACTTGGCTTGCCATGCACGACATGGGACAAATGTCCTTTGCATTTAATAGCTGTAGAAGAGACAACTTGGGAATGTGCAGCTTCTATACTTCACCCTTTTGAGTGAAGTTGCATTTCTTTAAAAAATTGTCTCTTTCTTTAAAGTAGGTGTGGGCAATAGCAGTCCCCACGATACTGGTGGAGTGCTGTTCCCATCAGCTGTGGCCAGCATAGCCAGTCATGAGAAACTGTAGAAGTTGTTTTCCAGAAATATCTGGATAGCCACAGTTAAATGATCATGACTCAGCAGTGTTCCATATGAGTTAGTCTGATAATCCAATGACATAGGAAGGTGCACTGGGGGGAGGAAGGAGCCCTGTAGAAGGGCATCTAGAAGGGCTGTTTCCTTATGTTTTTGTCCAAGTATATCATTTTAGCTTAAAAAATGAAGGAGGAAAAGGCATCTCTGTACAGTAGATGCAGGAGAATTGGGCATTTAATCTTTTGAAATGTCAGACGAGAGCAGGTGCAAGATCTCTGGAGACTTTGAGGCAACCTTCCCCAATGTAGTGCCCTTCAAATTTGCTCTCCAAAAAGAAGGGAACATGCATAACTCCCATCATCCCTGCTCATTTCATGGTTTGACTATTTGTACAGCCAGTTTTATTAAGACAGAGGAGGGGAATGTCTGATAACCAAAGATGATTATTCTTCCAATATAAAAAAAAAGTCACCACCGTATTCATAATGTTTGTTTCCTGCATTATAGGGGCTACATGAATGTTAGTGATGGCAGCACATTCATGCTGCATGGATCAACTGTGACTCTGCACTGCTCGGCAAATAGCAGGGGGAACTGCAGTGCATGGAAGTTGGGCAACATATCCATTTTACTAAATGACACAGCAGTAAACAGCAGCAACAGCCTGTCAGTCAGCGCACGGGTTTCATTGCACACACCTGGAAAGCAAACGTTTACATGCCGATGTTCAGATGGAAAGAAGTCACCCCCCATGCTCATATGTGGAATTTACATTTTTGTCGGAAGTAAGATATGTTTGTTTTTGAAGCCTTTTGCCTGTTTTAACAGTCCAGATGTGCTTGTGAAAAACACACAGCTTAGAAAAGTTATTTTTCAGGACCATAACTTCCAGAATTCTCTTACCATCCTTGCTGGAAGCTATAGTCTAAACAAGTAGCTTTCCCAAGCTCTGGGAGATGTAGCATGGCAGGAAATGTGGCAGAATCTAGTGATAAATCTGTTCCAGCGTGTTTCCTGTTCTGGAATATGAATGACTGCATTAGACCAAACAGGTCTCGGGTATCTTGGTCTCACCTGGCGTTGTGTGGGTTCAGGACCTGCACCTGCATTAGGTAGAGTGAGGTGGTTGTCTGAGGTGGCAGAGATTATGTAATGCCATTTCCATGTGTTAGGTGTTTTTTTTTTTGCAAAGTAACTTTGTTACACCCTCATTACATAACTACTTTATTTGTTACTGATTACTTCCAAATTTTACACAAGCTTTTTTGGAGTGGGCTGGTCTGGGCTAAATAGGGTCACTTGGGGTTGTGGAGAGGTCTAGTATGCCATTCAGTGTGATCCTCACATCCAAAGGGCATACCAGACCTCAGGTGATCCTATTTGATTTAGTTTCTTCTGCTATCAATTTGCCATATCATGAAGTAGCTTAAAAAGAGAGCCACTTCATGATACTGGGAAACTGAAGATTTCCTCTGTGGAGAGCAGTTTCTTCTGCTATCAATTTGCCATACGTATCATGAAGTAGCTTAAAAAGAGAACCACTTCATGATATTGGGAAACTGAAGATTTCCTCTGTGGAGAGACAGAGGATTTAAAAAAAATTAGACAATACTTGGACAGTGCAGATGCACCACATCATTTCTTTTTTTAAAAAAAAACCTAAATTGAAAAGTTCCTCCTGGAAGAGGAAAGAGACAGGAGGGGGCAAAGAGGGGCATTTTTCTTCTTTTCTTTGACTTGTCTTAAATGTCCAGTCAAGAACCTGCCAAGTGATAAATCCACAGCCAAATAGTCAAATGTGTTTACTATTTCTGCCCCTCCATGGAAAAGCAGAAGAAATGTTTAATGTGCCAATATCCTGAGGTGGCTCTCTTTTTAAGCCACTTTATGATATGGCAAATTGACAGCAGAATGAGTCTTGATGGCTGAAGGCTCACTTTGCTTAATTTCCAGTGGTTGTGTGTGCTGGAAACAAATCCTACCTGCACCAATAAAGTAGAAGCCCTTGATAGAGACCTAAAAAGGTGCAGGTAGGAATACTCTGGGCTGGTGTGTTCCAGCAGTTATGTTGTGCGATCAGTAGAGAAAAGGAGCAAACCAACCTGTCCCTGCAACAGACCTTGCTAAATGCCCATCTGATTGCACCTCTGCCAACTCAGGTGTATTCCTGCACTGTAACATATAAGTACACGTCACAGTATTTAAATATGGATGGGACATTGCCTGTATATTAATTAAACTATATGTGCAAGATTTCCAGAGCACAAAAATACATATTAATTAAACTATACGTATGTGCAAGATTTCCAGAGCACAAAAATAGCTTTTATTCAGTGGGTGACACAAACATATAACACTCATTCAGAGAAGAACCAATCTGTTACTACTTTTGACAAGGCAATACATTTTTATTTTGATAGCAAACTCTTCTCTTTTGGTCTTCAAGCATTAAAATTGTCTCACACTAACATTTAAAGCAAACATGAGCTCTTCACACAGATGAATATCCTGAAGGGCTTTTTCTTTTAAAAGTCACTATTCCAAAAGAGGGGTCCCTATTAAGATATATGACTTTACTCTCATACTTCCACTCCTAACCTGTTGTGTCTTTTTAAGTTCCTCCAGAGTGGCCGAGAAATGTATCCTGCAATCAGTATGGAAAAAATGGATCAACTACGTGCTCTTGGATTAAAGGACGTGATACTTACCTTCCTACTTCATATACATTACAGTATGTTTTAATTTGTGTCTCAGCTTCTATTGTCTTTGTGTTCACTCTTACCTGCATTTGAGTGCCTTCTTCGTCACAATCTAAAGTCCTGTTTTTTCTTTGATTCTTGTGTACCTCCCATTCTGCCTTGCATGACCAGAGTGGAACACAAGCAAAATACTGGCAAAAATACTAGGATTGTCTATAAAAGGTTTTGGCATACACAGTGTGTTTCTGGTCAACAGCTTTTGGTTTAGGAAGCTGTGGGTTAAACTGGACATTAAGGGGAATGCATATTCCCTGTGATTAACCCATTCTCAGCGATATATGCCTTGGCAGTCAAATCAGCAAATTAAGCAATTTGGAAGTGTTTGAGACCCGTTGTAGAAGAAAGCCTAGATGCAAGGTATGAAATGAGGAAATGGATGTCATCTGACAGACATTTTTCATTGGTGGAGGAACCACCTAAAATATACTGGGCATGTGGTTTAGGTTGAGACTAAGGTATGTTTATCCTCTCCCCACTCCCTAAAACATTGTACTTCTTCTAGCCCTACTAACATAACATTTGCATTTGTGTCTCCTTTTTGACTACATAAATAATGGGACTCTAAGATTGCACATGGGAAATAGAGGGAGAAATGGAACGAGGGCATACTTGTCTACATAATGTAAATGTGGAAGCAAAGTACCACCATCGCACCTTCATCCACCTCCTTTCTAGGATAGATCAGAGAACCATGGGCCTTCAGCCCCACATACCCCAAAGGTTTTTTAATATTTTTTTAAAAAATTAATAGCAAGTTTCTTTGTTCCATTTTTAAGCCCCCTCCCCCCCCAGTTCTGGGACACACACGCCAGTTTAAATGTTTGTTTGTTTTTTAATTCTGGCCACTAAATAATCATGTGCTATGAAGTCAAATTCTGACTTGTGGCAACCTTTTTCAGGGTTTTCAAGGTAGTGAATACTCAGAGATTGTTTACCGTTTCCTTCTTCTGGGAGCATTCTGGGACTGTGCAGCTTGCCCAAGGCCACACAGGCTGGCTCTACTCGTAGGAGGCACAGTGAGGAATTTAACTCCCAACCACTGGCTCCTCAGCCAAATACTTAAACCACTGAGCTGCCCACTAGAATTCATGTATTGCAGACTTTGCCCCAAACAGTGCCTTCTAGATGTGTTGGACTACAACTTCTATTCTTGAGAGTCGCAGTCCGTCCACAGTAAGGCACATTGCAAGAAAGACCTATCTATAGATTTGCACAGACACTGAGGAGGAGACTTAAGTGCTATACAGTGGTGCCCCGCTAGACAGTTACCCCGCATGACAGTTTTTTCGCTAGACATTGGCTTTTTGCGATCGCTATAGTGATCCGCAAAACAGTGATTCCTATGGGGGAATTTTGCTGGACAATGTTTGGTCCCTGCTTCACAAACCGATTTGCGGTAGATGACGATTTTGGCAGCTCCCTCCGCGCTCACAAACAGGTGTTTTCGCGACCTAAGCTTCGCAAGACAGCGATTTAAACAGCTGATCGGTGGTTCACAAAGCAGCTTTCCTATGGCTGATCTTCACTAGACAACGACGATTCTTCCCCATTGGAACGCATTAAACAGGTTTCAATGCATTCCCAATGGGGAAATGCTTTTCGCTAGACAGTGATTTTGCTAAACAGCGATTTCAGTGGAACGGATTATCATCGTCTAACGAGCCACCACTGTATTTAGTAGCATTGGGCTCAGATCATGTCATCTGATTTTTTTTAAGAAAAACGATGTGAAGTGCAGTCTTCTATGTGCTGTTTTACTGTGACTTCAACCAGTCCTAGCCAGCATGCACAACAGAGGATGCTGAGAATTGTAGTCTAGAAACACTTGGAGGGCTTACATCTTGCCTGCCCTTGGGATAAACAGAAGTGCCTGGCAAATGAACAAATTAGCAAAGTACTACCCACAATGTGTTACACAGTGTTATATAGGTGCAGAATTAGTCTAATTGAGCACTAGGCCTATATACCCTTTTGCATTAAGCTGTTTCATGGTTTTCAGTCACAATTGTCTTTCTATGGCAGGCTAACAAATGGAACATTTCTGGAAGAGATTGGTGCTGTAGAGAATCTCAGTTCGGTGGATCTCAAAGTAAACCTGGACCCTGAATCAACCTACACAGTTGTGGTCATTGCCAAAAATGAACTGGGAAATGCATCTTCCCAGCCAATCCAGTTCACCTTAATAGACATAGGTAAATAAGGAATTCATCTCAAATAAATTCATCCTATTTGACTGGCATGCTTTTCAGAGAATGTTGATGTGAACCAAATCCTCATTTTTGGCCTTCCAATCAATATATCAGTCATCCTCGTTCAAATGAGGTTTTTGTTTTGTTTTCTAAGCCACTACCTCGCCTTACCTATCAGAAGACACTTAAAAATCTGAATGGCAACACTATAATGAGATGGGGATTAGAACTGAATTTTGATGTGGTGGCAGGAACTAATGTCCGGAAATAAACATGCATTCCTTATTCAGAGAGCAACATGCTGAGAGATTGTCATTTCTAAGCAGTTAACCTAGGAATAGCAATATTTGAAACTTATCAGTCAGAATGTGTGAACCTGTTCAAATTGGGGCTATTTCACAAACAAGAGATGGTTTGGAGATTATCTGTTATTTGTTTTTTAAAGCAGACTTGGAAAAGTTATTTATTGAGATGACTTCCAGAATCCCCCAACCAGCATGGTTATATTATGGGAGTCATTGTTCAAAATCAGTCAGTTCACCAAGCTCAGTTTTTAAGCCACAATACCAGATTCTCAATAGTTCATATGAGGGTTTTTCCATGGGCCCCATATGATTTCTACATTGCCTGTATACCTAAATGAATATTGGTGTTATTTATGGTACAGAGTACAGTAGTCATCCACACTCTAAGGCCCTCCTGTTCTTTTGACCTACAACTCCCATCATGCTCCAGCCAGTACTACTGGGGGCTGTAGTCAAACCATTTCGAGTCCTTGGAAAGGATGGTTGGAACAGAGGGGATACAATAATGGGAATAAAAAACTACAGATCACAATTCAGAGATGCTCAAGAATCTGAGCAGTATTCTGCACAAACAGGTCTGTCAGTAATAACCTGTCAGATAGTCAGTGGATCAGTTTATTGGTGGCGGGAGGCACTGAATTGAACAAGCAGTGCAGAGCTGACTATATTAAAGATCTAGCCAGACTTGTACACAGTTTCCAGTCCAATAAAAGGAATCTCAGATACAGAATTTGAAAAAAATTAATGTTTGGAATAAAATTCCCACAGCCTCCCGATCAACTTGGCCAGTGGGAATTATAGCTGCCAGAAGGTAAATTCTCCAAGCACTGTTCAGAGGTATCTGCCACCGCCCCATCCTGTCAGAGTTGACTAGTTCATACAGCTCTGGACATTGGCAATGAAGTTTGCTTCCACATGTCATCCCAGAAAGAAACATAGCCACAAGTGTAAACAGAATTAGAAAAGGGTTAAGCAAAATTCATAAAGGAGAAGGCAATCAGTGGCTAATTGTTGTGACAGATATATGTTATCTCCAGGATCAGAGGAGGCATATTGGAGACAAGCAGGCATCCAGTTGGCCACTGTGTGTGTGTGTGTGTGTGTGGGAATGCTAGATGAGATGGGGCATTAGCCTTTTCTAGTAGAATGGTTGGTATTGTAGAGCGGAGCTTTCTCTGCTTTGCCACCGGCAGTTCCAAAAATGTTGACATTTTTGCATTTTAAAGAATTTGTGCTGATGTATTTTTCATCACCGCAAACTAGTGAAGCCTTATTCTCCAGTGAATCTCTCAGTAAAATTTGATGGCTTTACTGCAACCAGTTGCACCGTTTTGTGGCACGATGAACAAGAGACGCAGCGCTTCAGTTTAAGATACCAGCCTGTTCACAGTAATTCCTGGCATATGGTAAGATGATCTAATTGTATTTATTCTGGAGCCATGAGAAGCGGGGTGGAGAAAGAGATGAAATGAAGGGAAGGAAGAGGAAGAAAGAGGGGTGGTATAAAAAGAGATGGGAAAGGGGTGTTCCACCCAGTGTTACTTTTGTCCGTGCATACTGCCAGCAGGGGTTCCCTACAAAGAAATGTGGCCTCAGGCAAAAATAAAATGGTGCCATCCCATGGTGTAGAGAGGATCATAGAGACCAAACATACTTCTTTCATACCTGTTTCTGTCAGTATATATGCATTTTGACATGTGGACTAAGTTCATATCCATGAGTCAATTCAGATTTGTAAGTATTCATGACCTGGAATTGGAAAAAATACAGAATCAGAAGAAATGCATACCCATTATATTTTCCCTGTTGTTTCTGCTGTTCTTTTGTAATCTTTGGACAGGACTAACTTTGGGTTATCTTGAAGACAATACAGTACTAGAAAATAATCTATAACATCTGGGAGATATGCTATATCCCAAGACTATAATAACATGCTCTTCTCTCTGTTATGTAGTTTCGTGTTCCTGAGATAAGAGGTGCTTCCATAGCAGGCTTTTCGTGTGTTTAATTCAAGTAATTTTACAGAAGGTTCAGATGATATTAACTTTGTGTTTTCCCATTGCTTTTTTCCATCTGTTTTATTATAATGGGGGGAGGGAGAGATGGAATATTTCAACAATATCACTGGAATGCTAGCATTAGGATTCCTTCATTTGGAAACACCCTTGTTCACCCCAGTGTTTAGTTTAGAAAACAGTGCATTGCGTGGCTGGGACAAAGGTCCAGAGGATGACTCAGTTCCTCTGAGCATAAGCACAGATAAAGAGTTTGGAAAAGTTACTTTTTTGGAGCAAAACTCCCAGAGTCCCCTAACAAGCCTGACCAGTGTCATGGGAGTTTTACTCCAGAAAGGTGACTTTCTCAAAACTATGCAAAAACATAAAGCCTTTTCATAGAGTAGCCTTTTCATAGAGTATAGCCATGTGTTTCATTTCAAGTAATTTTACAGAAGGTTCAAATGATATTATTCTTGTGTTTTCCCATTGCTTGTTTCCATCTGTTTTATTATAATGGGGGGGGGGGGAGATGGAATATTTCAACAATATCACTGGAATGCTAGCATTAGGATTCCTTCATTTGGAAACACCCTTGTTCACCCCAGTGTTTAGTTTAGAAAACAGTGCATTGCGTGGCTGGGACAAAGGTCCAGAGGATGACTCAGTTCCTCTGAGCATAAGCACAGATAAAGAGTTTGGAAAAGTTACTTTTTTGGAGCAAAACTCCCAGAGTCCCCTAACAAGCCTGACCAGTGTCATGGGAGTTTTACTCCAGAAAGGTGACTTTCTCAAAACTATGCAAAAACATAAAGCCTTTTCATAGAGTAGCCTTTTCATAGAGTATAGCCTTTAACAAATACCAGCAATTTTCATTTTACTTCAATGTTTTTTTTTTCATTCAAGCTTCAAAACATAAGCACTAGAAGATATGATCTACATGGCCTGAAGCCAAATATTAGCCTTTTCAAATACCAGCAATTTTCATTTTACTTCAATGTTTTTTTTTTCATTCAAGCTTCAAAACATAAGCACTAGAAGATATGATCTACATGGCCTGAAGCCAAATATAGAATACAAATTCCAGGTCTCTAGTAGGTTCCTTGCCAACAGAGGCTTATGGAGTGACTGGAGCATGCCATTTCAAACAGAGGCAGGTAATGGAAGAAGCAATAGAAGAAATTAATGCTGTGTGTTGTGCCATATGTTGTATTTTCTACTTGCTTGAAAATCTACTATAGATAAGATATCCATGATTGCAGCCAGACTATAATCTCAGTGGAATTTAGTGAGGAATGCAAAATATATTCATATGCCCTGAAGCAGAACAAAACAACTATATAAGAATTAAGGAGGAGATCCAGTTCATGGACCAGATGGAGTGAAGAAGAATCCCAAGCACCTTTGATGCAGATCTGTGTTGTAACAGTCATCTAAATTGCGCTGAGTGTTGTGGATCTGTCTGATGTGGAAACAAATACAGTGGACCCTCGACTTACAGACGGCTCCACTTACAGACTTTTCGAGTTACAGACTTCTCTGGCTGCAAAATTTAGGTTCGACTTGCAGCCGGAGAATTGACCTACAGACCAGAAAAAAACCCAAAATGGAACAAAAATGGTTAATCGGTTTTCAATGCATGGTAGGTCAATGGAGCCTCGACCTACAGACTTTTTGACCTGCAGCCACCGTTCCAGTATGGATTAATTCTGTAAGTCGAGGGTCCATTGTAGTCCCATAAAGATAAACTAAATCACATGCTAGAATGGAATCAGTCCAAATTATTAAAGCAGGTATGGCTTCCTTGTGGTGAGATAAGGCTCTGCACCATACAAGAAGCTGTGATCAGATGGGGATATAAAATATCACACTGGAAAGAGTCACCCTTTAAAGTGACCCTTCTCTCCAAATGTGATCCAGTCCTGATTGCTCCAGCCTGATCCACAGGAAGAGCAGCCCTGCCCCTGGACTAAAAACGCTTAGAGTAGGTACAGAGCCAGGGTCAGGCAGGCTCCTAGTACACATTGTCTGGTCACCAACAAATAGAAACAGACCAGGCTGTCAGCCCTGCAAAAAGTGATTCTTCTTATTCATTTTGCGATTACACTTTACGCAATCTTTCCTCCAATGATTTTGAGACATCATACTGTCCTTAACTCTACTTGATCTCCATAACAACCCTGAGAGATAGTTGAAACCAAGGAAAAGTGATGGTCGCAAGACCACCATGTACAATCCATGGGTCAGTAGAGAATTGAACCTCAATCAAACCAAGGCAAAGTGATGGTTGCAAGACCACCATGGGTCAGTAGAGAATTGAACCTCAATTTCCCAGCTGCCATTCCAACCGTGTAATCATTATCTCTTGTGGGCTCTTTGGATGAACACTTCACAATTGTGCTTATAGAATAGGCCACACCTCTCTACCTTCCTTGTTTGTGCCTACTGAACATATGTGGCATAGGCAATTGTGCTTGTAGAATAGGCCACACCTCTCTACCTTCGTTTGTGCCTACTGAACATATGTGGCATAGACCTGCCCTTGATGTAGAATGCTCTGGAGAGACTTAAGCTAAGAAACTACTCTTTTAGTGCATTCATTGAGAGGAGAGAGCTGTAAAAATAGAACATTACGACATTTACTTAGTGGCAAATGAAGACTGATGGGATTGAAATAAAATCAAGCAGAAACCGCAGAAGCACATTCCTGAGCACTAAACTTTACCACAGGTTGCAAAATCAGAGTTACAACTCATTAGCAACAGGAAGAGCACTTTCTATAAGTGTTTTAAAAAGAGTTTAAGGAACCGCCACTGAAGTTTTTATCAGTTTTAAAAACAATAATCTTTAAGATATGACAATATCTAACCCCTTGCTGTTTCATTTCACACCGAGCTTCCGTGCAGAATCAGACGGTGAGATTTTCATTTACTCTGTGACAAAGAGTTTCAACAATAGCTCAGGAAGCAAGACACATAATCTTTAGGACTTCGTGGTTTCTCTTAAACTTAACAAAACGTTACTATAATTATACTGTAGGCCTATTTTCATTTCACCCAGTGCCCTCTGAACCGACTGACATCTGGTATTTACAGAAAGATGCCTCTCCTGAAATGCAGAACATAACTCTTTTTTGGAAGGTAAGAATTTCTCTATCCCCGTGGAAGCTTAAGGGTGTTGTTGTCGGGCGGAGGTGGGCAAAAGGCAGCCCCTGCCCACAATTTTTTTAAAAGTGTCTTAGGAAAAAAATATACAGAAGGTATCCTTGTGCCCTCAATGGATCATAGGAAGCAGTTTAGCCATGTTTTAAAGGACACCCCCCACCCCACCTCTGCCCCCAGTGCCCCAATGTTTAAAGCTCTTTGGCCCACTAGAGAGTGCAAGAGTGCTTTTTCAATTGAAAACATGACTTTGGTACCACTCACTCACCCCTGTTGTAGGGGATTCTATATCAGACCCACTGCCAAAAAGACTATTGGTTTTGACTACAGCTGCCAGAATCTCCTGGCTATTGGGGTTGGAAGATTCTGAAAGTTATAGTCTATAGATTTTTTTTCCAGGCTCCAATCTAAACTGGGCAAATAACCTCCTTAAATCTAATCTAAAAATAGATGAAAAAGGGAGCATGAGTTTCTACAGCTCTGCATGTAGCAAATTAGTTTGCTTTTGTTTTGGACTGATCACTTGGAAAGGCTTCATTTGCAAATCTCAGCCAGAGAGATTGAAGGAATTTTGTGACTGGAGGAAATATATTTTAATAGCAGGACCATTTACCTTAAATGTGATTTTATCTAGGTACAGTGGTGCCTCGCTTAACGATTGCTTCGTTAAATGACGAAACCGCTAGACGAGGACTGTTTTGCGATCGCAAAATGATGTTTTAATGGCAAAAATCCACTTTGCGACAATCGGTTCCCTGCTTCGGGAACCGATTCTTCGCATTATGATGATTTTAAAACAGCTGATCGGTGGCTTCAAAATGGCCGCCCGCTGTGTAAAATAGCTCCCCGCTGTGTTTTTGGACAGATTCCTCGCTATACAGGCACTGAAAATGGCAGCCCCTATGGAAGATCTTCGGTGTACGGTGAGTTTTCAGCCCATTGGAGCACACTGAACGGGTTTTCAATGCGTTTCAATGGGATTTTTTATTTTGCTTAACGAGGATTTCGCTGTACAGCGATTTTGCTAGAATGGATTATCCTTGTTAAGCGAGGCACCACTGTACAAAAAAGTCCAATAGAATTTAAAATGCAACTCTATAGTTCACATTTATATGCTATTCCATCATTGTTGTCCTCCCCCTCCCCCCCAAAAAAGCTTATGGTGGCACATATGGTGTTTCCCTCCTCCCCATTTTATTTTTGCAACCACTGTATGAGGTAGTTCAGGCTGAGAAGTCAACAGGCTCAAGGTATCCCAAGGCTGAAGATGCTTCCGAACATAAATCTCTCCAGCCCTAATTAAATGCTGGCTTTACAACTATTGACAAAGCATTTTGGGTGATGAAGGGGAGACTCAAGGAAACAACATGCAAGAAAAGAAATACTTTATGTGTGCTGATTTTTTATAGGCAACAAATATGTCACAACAAAAACAAAAAGGCCGTTATAGAGTGACTTTTCAGGCCCTAAACCAGGTGGATCAAAGTGTGGCAGAAACAAATTCTACAGTGTATACGGTTTTCTCAAGACTCATTCCCAGGACAAACTATAACATAACAATTTGTTCTTACAACTCACGGGGAATGTCCCACCCAGTCTCCATCACTGCTAAAGTAGGAATGACAGGTAAGCTGTTTCTTCTGTCTATAATAAAATTGCACTGTTGAAGGTTTCCTTTTACATACATAAGGCAGAATTTAAACCACTGTGACCTATAAAAGATATTTCTCAGGGTGGGCATAGGGGAAGGGATGGCTGTAATACTTCTGTACTCTATGCACTCAGCTTTGGTCCCTCTCCAGCAGCAGGGAATAAGGGAGCATTTAAGATGACAGGTAGTTTTTGCTTGCTTACCAGCAGATGATTATTTTGGAGTACTGCTCCATGATCCAAAACTTCCAATACAGGAACCAAAATAACAAAATTCTACTCATCAGATTCCTGCCGAAAAAAGGTGATTTTTTTTTGCCTATCCCTCCTTCCCACTGTGCCCCCCCATTTCTAGAATGTAGAGAGGGAGGGCTTTAGAGGCATACAGGGGAAATTTAGTAAAAAGCCTCCTTCCATTGAGAGCCCTGCTTAAATCCTAATCTTTTCTGCACATGGATCCAGTCAAATTCATATTGTTACTATCAGCTATAATTGTTACTTAATCTTAAGCTGTTATTATAAACTATAATTGTACTTAATGTTTTCTAAGGTCCAGCTCCAGTGTTATCCATTCTGAATTGCTAGCTTTTCTGCCCGTTCTGTTTCAGTTTTCCTCTTGGATGATCTTTCACTTTCTTAACTGAAATTCCTCCAGGATAGACTATTGTTACACTTCTTTGTTTCAGTTAAGGAGTTTATGGCTGAAATGCTGTTGCACAGGTAAACAAACAGTGTTATTTGTAAAGATAAACCTTATCTGTTGCATGCAGAACTATGTGATTTAGTGTGTGACAATACAGAGATTTCTTGAGGCAATTCTTTTCCAAAGCTTATGCCATATATGTGTAACTGCACAAGAGGATTTCAGCCAAAGTATTTCATGCTTGTTTGTTAAATCTCTTTAGATTTGCCACTGCCTAACCATCTCTCTGCTACATCAGTGGAGAATGGCAGCATCGTTGTTACTTGGGAAGCGCCTCTCGCCTCTTCCCTTTTTATCAGTGAATATGTAGTGGAATGGGCAGAACACCATGATGGAAATTCCATGAAAACCCACTCATCTTGGCTCAAAGTCTGTGGTCACAACTTTACAGTAACAATAGGTAAGAGCATAGCACAGGAGAACACATTGATAATGCTAACTGCTTTATTCCAGGACAGATTCTGTGCCCCTGCTAAGGATAAATCATTGCAGGTTTTTGTATGTTATTGTTGGCATACCCATTAAGTCCCAGTTTTGGACTACACATGATAGCTCAATCTGTCTTCTAGTTTTTCCAGATGGCCCAAGATTATACTGTATCTTTTAAGCCACACCTCATTGCAATTGCTAAAAGCCAATCTCTGGAGGCAGAAAAGAGACCTGTGTTCCATGTACTAAAAAGAGCTGAGCTCAGATAACACAAACAGGCTACCTAATACTGGCTGAAATCCGTTGCTTAGTGTAGTGAGTCACAACTAGAGTGGGCCCATTGAATCAGGAGTATTTGGTGTGTCACCTTCTCTGTATGTTCCATTGAATTTCTGGCAGAGAAGAGCCCAGAAAGTTCTTTGTAGTTCCCTAAGCTGCTTTTGTGGACTCAAATGCCTCCCTTGGGTGGGTGGGGGGGGGAGATGCCATTTTTTGCTCTTAGAACCTCCAAAACTGCTGTTTCTGGGGTAAAGGGATGTACAGTTTCCCAGACTCCCCAAAATAAAGCCAGAAAAGGACTTACAACATTATTTGCTTCTGATTTTCCATACATTCTGCTTGTTTACAAGTCTTCAGAAGTCCCCTGTGGGTCCCATGGCAGAAAATTGGCCTCAGGGTTTCTGAAGTGATACATTCCTGATGTAGTGCTTCCAGAGTCACTGCTGATTTCTTACATAGCTTTTTCAATGGAAGTCTCCCCCTACCCCCCCACCCAAAAATAAGACAACATAGTGCAATAATATATGAGGAGGCCACCATGGTAAAGAGTTTTCTTGGAGCATGGTGAAAAAATTGTAGCACCTCTTCTACACATACTAATATCACAACTCACCACTGTGTGACTCATCTCATTGCTTAAAGCTGGCTTTCCTTGAAAATATTAAACCATAATAGCAACTCACGTTCAATGTTCATTGAACCTTTTTCACACCATTGTATGAATACTCTTATATGACTCAACCCCTGGCCAGGTGTTGTTATCCACACAGATAGGATCACTATGCTTAGACGGAAGTGTCTAGTCCCCTCCTCTCTTTTCAGTTGTTGTTTTCTCCACATGGAAAGAGAAGCATCTGCAGAGGAAACATTCATGCTTACACATATGAGCTACATACAAGCAAATATCGCGAATAATCAGGGGACTTGCTTGTATGTAACACATATGTTTACGTAACTATGTAAAGCCTGTACATGAACAAGAACGTCTTCACTGTACGTGTTCCATCTGAAGGTGATATGCACTAGAAGTATTGCAAGTGCATTCAGTTGAGCAAGCTTAAAGGTGCCTCTTAAGACTTTCACTCTAAATGTACAAAGATCTGATTCACATCTGGATGGAGGTTTTAGGGGTGAGACATGTTCGGCTGTCCCTGCTTTCAGGCTATAATGCCTGAATGGGTTTCATCCTTCAGTTGTATAGAAGTATAAGAAATATAGTCTTCAAGGACAAGTATCACCAGAAGCAAATATGGAAGCCTCACACAAGTGGCTTTTAAGTAGAATGTTTGAAAATTTGAAATTGTTAACTCAGTATGAAATTCACTGGCAAAGAAATAGTTTCTTGTATTCTCAAAGGCTTTCATGGCTGGGATCCGATGGTTGTTGTAGGTTTTTCGGGCTGCTTGGCCGTGTTCTGGAGGATTTCCTTCCTAACGTTTCGCCAGTCTCTGTGACCGGCATCTTCAGAGGACAGGAGTTAGAACTCTCTGTGTTCGGAAGATGCCAGCCAAAGAGACTGGTGAAACGTTAGGAAGAAAAACCTCCAGAACATAGCCAAACAGCCCGAAAAACCTACAACAACCAAGTAGTTTCTTGCTTGTTGTGTTGCATGTTTTAAATAAACCATTTGTCTGCCGGTCTTCAGGATTATGGAGCAAGATGTGGAAATGTTCAGAAGCCCCTATGCCAGAATGATGCAGTATAAAACTTGCAAGGTTCAGGGCTCTTCCTAAGCCTCTTTTTCTGCATATTCGTCAATCTCATAATGAATGGTCCTTTTTTATATGTTTGAAAAGCAAAAAATTGGCAAAATACATTAATAGTTTGACTGTGGTTTCCAGGTTTCAGAAAGACATTCATTCATTCATTCATTCATTCATTCATTCATTCATTCATTCATTCATTCATTCATTCATTCTTTATTTATTTATTTATTTATTTATTTATTTATTTATTTATTTATTTA